ACAGATCTTTAGGGACAGTCAGCAGGCTGTCAGACACTGCCTGGAATGGTGATAAACATTATATATATATATATATATATATATATTTAAATAGTATAATATATATAATGTAAAATATATATTTATATATCATCTATTATCATATAATCATATATAATCTGTATATCATATATTAATTATATAAATAGCATAAAATTTATATATGTATAAATATATATATTTAGTTTAACTCTTACATGGTTCCCTCAAGCAATTAGCCTGTGTTGCTTGCCACTAGTTGCTTTGCTTCCATCCCCAAATAATAAGCATTTGGTCTCTCTGCTCAGAATTATCATGTATTTCCTTCTTCCCTCTAGGTAGGTCACTAAATTCCTTTGTGAACAGTGGGCATCAAACAGTCACTAAAAAAACTAAATAAAGCAAAATATGTCTCAATATTTCTCTAGAGCATTGAGTCATATTACATGGAATTATAAAATACTACCAGAAAATGGCACTTTATATACCATAATAGTCATTTTGTAAAGTTCAGTTTGGCAATTCCAAGCCACATTTAATTTTCTCTGAAAATTCCCACATGGCAGAGAAGATATTGCTCTTTGTGGCTTTCAAATCTCTTTCGGGGAACTGTAAAATGACAACCTTTTAGAATTAGCACTTCATCCATAAATAAGCACTAAATTACTTATATCAAATAAAGTCACCTATGTATTTTCATTAAAATAAATACTAAAATAATAAGTAGCTTTCCTATATAACCATCCTGGGATTTATGAGGTTTAGAATTCTGCATTTTACTTTAGTACAAATCACTTGCAGTTCTTCATCTCCACTGATAGGTGGGGCTAAGAATTTCTGTATTAATTATAATATTTTAGCATATTAAAATTTATATCTAGATGAAGCAGATACTTCAAAGCTTCAAAACTGATGAAACTGCATACTTGTCTTTTAAGGGATAAAACTGTTTGCATTAATATGTGAAATACACTACTAAAACACCCCCTGCTGATTTCACAGGCTTTGCAGGGAGTTATGCATAATTTTCTGAAAATTGAAAGACTGAGGATCAGATATTTATGGTGATAAAAATTAGATCTCAATAACTTTTAAAAACTTGGAAGAGTCTACGGTGGAATTTTAAAAATTCAGTTCAACAACTATTTAACACATGTATGCATGCATGCTAAGTCATTTCAGTCATGTCCAACTCTTCACGACCTTACGGACTTTAGCCTGCTAGGCTCTGCTGTCCATGGGATTCTCCAGGCAAGAATACTGGAGTGGGTAGCCATTCCCTTGAGACTTGCAGAGTCAGAAGATTGGAGTTTGGGACTCAACTGTGCCCTTGCTGGCACTGCAGCAGTATATATTGAATATCTTTGTAAACTTCCAGTACAGAATTGAAATAAAAATTAACTGAAGTTAACTGTTTTGAGAATAAAAGATCATCCACTCCTAAATATTGATTACTGAAGACAGCATGACATAAGACAATAATTCTCATATTTAGATGTGAGACAATTTGTTAAGAACCCACCAATTCTCCATGTAACTGTGCTTTTGCTTTCAAGTTTTTATTTTTTATGTCGGTGTTAATCTTTTAAAAGTTCATGTGAGCATATTCTGAAGCATCTGAATACTCTCCTTCTAACTGCACACACACATATATATACTCATGACAGCATGGTTGTCATTGTTCAGTCACTAGGTGGTGTCCAACTCTTTGCGACCCCATGAACTGCAGCACTCCAGGCTTCCCAGTCCTTTACTATCTCCTGAAGCTTGCTCAAACTCATATCCATTGAGTCAATCATGCCATCCAACCATCTCATCCTCTGCCGCCCTCTTCTCCTCTTGCCCTCAATCCTTCCCTGCATCAGGGTCCCTTCCAATGAGTCGGCTTTCACATCAGATGACCAAAGTAATGGAGCTTCAGTTTCAGCATCAGTCCTTCCAGCAAATATTCAGGGTTCACCTTCAGCATCAATCCTTTCAGTGAATATTCAGGGTTTTCTTTAGAGTTGACTGGTCCAATCCCCTTGCTGTACAAGGGACTTTCAAGGGTCTTCTCCAGCACTACAATTTGAAAGCATCAATTCTTCAGGGCACAGACTTCTTTATGGTCCAATTCTCACACCCATACATGACTATTGAAAAAACCATAGCTTTGACTATACAGACCTTTGTAAGCAAAGTGATATCTCTGCTTTTCAACATGCTGTCCAGCTTTGTCATAGCTGTTCTTTCAAGGAGCAAGCATCTTTTAACATACTGGCTGCAGTTACTGTCTGCAGTGACTTTGGAACTCGAGAAAATAAAATCTGTCACTGCTTCCACTTTTCTCCCATGTATTTTCCATGGAGTGATGGGACCAGATGTCATGATCTTAGTTTTTGGAATGTTGAGTTTTAAGCCAGCTTTTTCACTTTTCTCTTTCACCTTCATCCAAGAGGCTCTTTAATTCCTCTTCTGCCATAAGGGTGGTACCATCCTCTTCACTTTCTGCCATCAGAGTAGTGTCATCTGCATATCTGAGGTTGTTGATGCTTCTCCCAGAAATCTTGATCCCAGCTTGTGAGTCATTCAGCCCAGCATTTCTTAAGATGTATTCTGCACATAAGTTAAATAAACAGAGTGACAATATACAGCCTTGACGTACTTCTTTCCCAATTTTGAACCAGTCTGTCATTTCATGTTTGGTTCTAACTTCTGCTTCTTGCCCTGCATACAGGTTTCTCAAGAGACAGGTAAGGTGTATGGTATTCTCATTTCTTGAAGAACTTTCCACAGTTTGTTGTGATCCACACAGTCAATGAAACATGCCAGGATTACTGTCAAGTAATTTGACCTTTGTTTCTAAGCTAATGAAAACAGCCACAGGCTGACTTAAAGTATTGCTTTCATGTTACCCCAAGAGAAAGGCAAGCCACAATGGCAAAAACCCTGAATGAAGATTTGGTGGCTTCCTTGGTGGCTCAGAGGGTAAAGCGTCTGTCTATAATGTGGGAGACCTGGGTTCGATTCCTCGGTCAGGAAGATCCCCTGGAGAAGGAACTGGCAACACACTCCAGTATTCTTGCCTGGAAAATCCCATGGACGGAGAAGCCTGGTAGGCTACAGTGCATAGGGTCTCAAAGAGTTGGACACGACTGGGCAACTTGACTTCAATTCACTTGGATCCAGAAAACTGATTTGAAAATTCAATCATTACATGGCACACTATAACATTTAGTAAGCTGAACTTTAAATAAAAGAATCCTGCCAGTCTGCATTAAGACCAGTAATTTAACATCATGCACCATTTGTTTTGGTTTTGTAGCTATAGATATGTATTTACTAAATTGTATTTTAGTTAGTCATATGAAAGTGACTCAGATGGTAAAGAGTCTGCCTGCAAGGCTGGAGACCTGGGTTCAATCCTTGGGTCAGGAAGATCCCCTGGAGAAGGAAATGGCAATCCACTCTGGTATCCTTGCCTGGAAAATTCCATGGACAGAGGAGCCTGGTGGGCTACAATCCATGGGGTCACAAAGAGTCAAACATGACTGAGCAACTAACTTTAGCTTTAATGAAAATGGTAAACAAGTTTATAGTCAAGATTCAGAATCTATACATTAAATAGCATTATAAAAATTAAAATGAACATACATTAATTAAATGATTAACTTTAAAATAATCTAATACTTGAGGGGTGTGACCAAAATTGGGACTCAGAAAAGGAATTCAGGTTAAAGTCCTTTAAGTCAAATGACCTCATCTCCCTCTATTTCTTCACAGTAAGGATAATAAGGATGGATTGGCTCAGTGGCAAAGAATCCACCTGCCAATACAGGAGAGGTAGGTTGGATCCCTGGGTCAGGAAGATCCTCTGGAAAAGGAACTGTCAACCCACTCCAGTACTCTTGCCTGGGGAATCTCACGGACAGAGGATCCTGGAGGGTTACAGTCCATGGGGTCACAGAGGAATCGGACACGCCTCAGAGACTAAAACAAGCTAAGGATGATAATCTCACCACATAGGACTGTTGTGAGGAGTAAATAAAACAATGACTATAACCTGTGAAGAAACACCTATCTCTTATTGCGGAAAATAAGGGTTCTGAGTAAAGAGTCTAGACTTTCAAAAATAGGATAAATATTACTGGCCTCTGTTCAGGGTGGAGGAAACAAAATCTTTAGAAAGCTGATATAACCAAGTATTTGATACATACAAGAAAACACTTCCCAAAGCCTAAAGCGCTAAACAAAGCGGCTTTTCTCACTGACTACATTTTGAAGGAACAGGAGTTGGGTTCTACTCTGGCTCTCTAGCAAATATGCTGATGTCGTTTAACCCCCTGGGCCGCATTCACCTGCAAGTAATTAGAGCAGTAACGGCCACCTTTGATAGCGGCTTTACCAAACACCATGCACTTGAACTACGTTCTGGGTTTACACACCAGACGACCTCTCTCAGTGCCACAATATTAAAGCAAACATTACGTCCACTTAACAGATTTTTTAAAAATAACAATAAGGCTAAGAGAAGTTAGAAACCTGCCATACCACACCTGCTGTGCTGAGGTTCTAAAAACATCCACCATAAGAGAATTGTTAGCAATCAACAGTTTTGCCGCTAACAACGGGCTATCCCGCAACCCTCCACAGCGGCGCTTTTAGGACCGCCCATCCGCCAGGTGGGGCTTCCCTGTGGCTCTGTTGGTAAAGAATCCGCCCGCAGTGCGGAAGAGCTGGGTTCAATCTTTAGGTTGGGAAGATCCCCTGGAGAAGGGAACGGCTACCCACTCCAGTATTCTGGCCTGGAGAATTTCATGGACTGTGTAGTCCACGGGGTCGCAAAGAGTAGGATACGACTAAGCGACTTTCACTTTGGAGTCAAACTCAAAAAAAAACCCTCCACAGGTGAACTTCATTCACCAATCCTTGGCTCCGCCCCTCCTCCCTCAGGCCCAGGCCCCGCCTCTCCCCGCCCCACCATCGCTCCGGCCACCGCCCACCTCACGGGCAAACCCCGAGCGGGTACCCAGCCTGCACCGCACTTAGCAGGACCGGGAGCATGCGCTTTGTGTGCGCCTGGATTTCCTGTTCGCGTCCTTCGCTTCCGGCGGGGTACGTCTAACCAATCAGGTAGGCTCGGAGGTGGGCCATAGTTCTCCCAGGCTCCTCCCCCTGCCTTCACTTGAGGAGCGTTGGAGGAAAGTCGGGCGTGAGACCTGTACCGTCAAGCCGGGGTTCATGGCTTCCTCCAGGACGCTCGGCACTTTCCGTCTGCCGCCGTTGCCCACGATTCGAGAAATCATTAAGTTGTTTAGACTGCAAGCCGTGAAGCAGCTATCCCAGAATTTTCTTTTGGACTTGAGGCTGACAGGTGGTTTATCAGCGTTCCCCCGGCGTCTCCCTCGCGTCCCTGGGGGAGTGGGGTCGGGGAAGGTTTCGCGCGGACCCTGCGGGCGGGCAACGGGGTTCAGGCACAGAGGTGTGCGGTGGCCGTAGGTCAGACTCTTCTGCCGCTTTGCCCTGAGAGAACTCCGGAGCCCCACCGCCCAGGGGGTGTGTAGAGTGTGTCGTTTGCTCAGGGGCGTTTGCCGTAGGCTTTGGAAGGCAGGCTGTGTGGACGCCGAGCAAACACTAGCTTTGTAAGGCTTCGCGTCTCCTGAAAGGCGCTTGTGGAATTCGAATCTTGGTGTGTTACCAATAAGGAATACATGCACGTGCTGACTGGTTTGGCTTTTTATGTCGTTAAACTTGCAGGGACTTTATCGGTAACAAGTTGGAAGAGTATCAATGGCGTTCGATATTTAAACGTTTACTTGTTGAATGTCACCCTCGAGGGTGCAGATATTCATTGTAACACTCATGGAACCAGCCCCTTTGTGCTAGAGCTGAAGTGGGATATAAGAGTGAGCTAGGCCAAGTTGGTCCCCAAGAAGCTTACATTTTAAGCTTAAGTTTGCTTTCCCACTCCCTAAGTCACGTTTTATGAAGTAGAATTAGATACAATAAAATTCACCTGTTGGGAGCTCACAGGTGGATAAATTTTGACAAATGTATATAGTCGTTTAACCTCTACCACCTTTTCTTCGTCCTGGTCTTTCTGAAAAATGAGACTACAAGAAAAAGATTATTAGAAATACGTCTGTTCACAGTTGAAGTACATAGCATTTCTGAGGTTTTGATATTTCATTCTGTTTGGCTCCTCTTCAGAAACTGATTCAGTAAATCACATTTCGAAAGTTATGTAGTACAGTCCAAAAGCAGGAATGGGTTGTTTTTATTTCTTGAATGTAGAGTAGCAGTGTGGGCAGGCCAACAGTGATTAACACAGTAAAAAAAAAAACAAAAAACAAAAAACCTTGTTTTCAGTTTTCTTATTTAATTGGGCGAGAGCTCTACCACAAGAGCTTTAAAAGGTCATCCACCTGGAAAATTCTTTGGTCCTGAGATGGTTGGATGGCATTACCAACTCAGTGGAGTTTGAATGGGCTCCGGGAGTTTGGTGATGGACAGGGAAGCCTGATGTGCTGCAGTTCATGGGGTCACAGAGTTGGACACGACTGAACTGACTGAATAGTAACTAGAGCCAGCCTTTTCGGGTAGTCATTAGCTGCATTCTAGATATAAAGCACCATTCCCAAAACTGAAAATAGAGATCTTTATATTGAGAAAAAATCTTTCATATGCCCTTTCTCATGCTGAGTCTTTATTCACCTTCAGGAATCAATTTCAGAATCTAGATACTATTGTTCCCTCTTCTGCAGGATCCAAAGTGAAGACAAATTAAGGTACTTGTGTGAGGTGAGAAGCTCAGGTGTGAAGAGAGCAAGATGGAACCCCAGGTGTAGTGACTTGACAGTGCTCTTTGATATCCATTTGTGTTTGAATGTTTCTGAAAGGTTTAAGGTGAAAAGATTGTCCTACCTACTGTTGTAGCTTTCCGTTAAAAAAAAAAAAAACTATTAAAATCACTCTGTAATACCTGTGCTCAATGCAGCATCTCTGCTCCCTCTGAGAGGTAGTCGTCTTTTGTGGAGGAAGGGTTGGCTTTAGGAGTTACACCTGACCTGGTGTCCATTTGTTTTCCAGGTAACCTCACTCAAAGTAATAAATGAAGAAACTGGAAAGTTCAAAGAAGTTAAAATGAGGTAGTAATTCTTAAGTTAGGGCTTCACAGGTGGTGCTACTGGTAAAGCACCTGCCTGCCAGTTCAGGAGACTTTATAAAAGAGACATGGGTTCAGTCCCTGGGTCAGGAAGACCCCCTGGAGAAGCGAATTTTCTTGCCTGGAAAATTCCATGGTCAGGGGAGCCTGGCAGGCTACAGTCTATGGGATCGCAGAATCAGATGCTACTGAAGTGACTTGGCACAGCACAGTTCTTTGTTCATGTGTTGTAAGGATTTGCTGTGAGAAAGCATGTTAAACACCTATAACATGGTCAGCGTATGCTTGTTTTCTCCTGGAACCCATTGAAGAGAAAACTATTCTTGGATAATTGAGAGATTGTTTTTGCCTTTAAGCCTACAAAGGTAGGTTATCAGTAACAAGCACAAATGAGACTGTACACTCAGTGAACAGTGTAAAGTGCTAGTGTGTTTTCAGTGGCTAAATTTCCACCATCCAAGAGGCCCAGCTGCTTGGATTTTAACATCTCAGTCAACAAGATTAGTCTGTTGCGTTTTTCCAGAAGGTTGGTTGCAATGAATCCTCAGTAATGTGATTTTCCGTGCTTTCTTAAGGTCTGCTAATGTAAATTGATTAAAAAATTAATTTTCTCATATCAACTTGCATGTTTGCAAAGCTCAACAAACTTCACTGCTAAATTTAACTTTTTCTTAAAAATAACCAAGAATCTCAATTTCTCTAAGTCCTACTAGCTAGGAACTTGGTACCATTGCCATGTTGACCACCAGCTCGATGTCTGTAGGTAAAAGTGAATACTGCCAGCACTTTTCTGCTTCTGAATTTCTAACTCGCAACATTGGAAATTGTGAATGTGAAGCTAGCCTTGCTTATTCACATAATTGATATTCAACAACTGTATAGAAGTGGTTTGTGTTTTTCCATCACTTCTTCTTATATTGATTGGTCTGGCAGACAAACAGGTGAAAAATACCATGTGTGCGCATGCTTGGCTGCATGTGCACTCAGTCGTGCCCGACTCTGCAATCCCGTGGACTATAGTCTGCCAGGCTCCACTGTCCATGGGATTTTCCAGGCGAGAATACTGGCATGGATTGCCATTTCCTTCTCCAGGGGATCTTTCCAACGCAGAGATTGAACCCTTGTCTCTGGCATCTCCTGCATTGGCAGGCAGATTCTTTACCACTGCACCACCAAGGAAGCTCTCAGAAAATACCATGTTTATTTAAGTTAAAGAAACTTGTCATGGTAATCCTATTTTTATTAAGGGTCTGGTAGAATTCAACAGTTACATGGTAGACTTTTGAATGGCTACTGTACATTGGTTTAGGCTGAGTTAAATAATCTGATAAATACTGCATATAAAAGATTAATTGGTTGAGTAACGCTGATAAGAATTCGTGTAGATTATTTTTCATTTTGAATTCCATATGTTGACATTTGCCAAGGTAATCGATTCAAACTTTCTTTTCTCTAGATAAAATTGTAAGGAAAGCTGGCAATCTGACAAATGCTTATGTATATGAAGTGGGCCCTGGGCCTGGGGGAATCACAAGATCCATTCTCAATGCTGGTGTTGCTGAACTTCTGGTGGTTGAAAAGGATAGTCGATTTATTCCTGGATTACAGGTGAGTTGCTGAAAATATCTTACTTAGGAGGTAAAAACCCAGTTTAAATCTTCAGGCCACGATTCTTAAACCTCGGAGTATATAAGATTTCTACAGTTTGCTCCTCAAACTGCAGTTCTCCAGGCCTCATTCTAGAGATTCTGATTACAGTGATCTTGGAGTGGTCTAGGAATCTGCATTTCTAACCACCATCCTCACATGAATTGTTGGCCGCAGCTTGAATAAACCAGCTTTATGCACTGATGCTCAGCAAGCTAATTTTGTGACTTTTTTGACTACTAATAGCTGTGCATGCCATGGCACCCCACTCCTTCAAAAATAAGTAAAACTGAGAAATGCTAACAATGTCTCAGTTATTGGCATGGCTTCTGAGAACCTCCTTTAAATTCAGAAAATCATTTCTACAAGCACAAGGTAGAGAAGATACATGCCTCACTGAGAGAAAGTAATTGTTAAGCTCAGGCATTTGTATAAGGATTTTTTAATTGAAGAAATTTAAGTTGTGCCATTGGTTTAAAATGAGGTTTGAATAAAATGATCATTGTTGTTCTTTAGTCTCTAAGTCATATCAACTTTTTTGCAACCCCATGGACTATATAGCCCACCAGGCTCCTCTGTCCATGAGATTTCCCAGGCAAGAATACTGGAGTGGGTTGCCATTTCCTTCTTCAGGAGATCTTCCTGACCCAGGGATCAAACCTGAGTCTCCTACATTGACAGGCAGAATCTTTCCCACTGAGCCGCCTGGGGAGCCGGAATGAAATGATAAATGTATCTTTAAAACAGTAGGTGATGTCCTATGAGAAGTGTTTGAAGAAACTGGTTGTATTTCAGTGGCAGAGAAGCCTTGAGTTAGGGGATTCGTAGCTACCTTTCCAAAACTGGTGGGGAGGATCAGCTTGTTTTTGGTCTTCTCTGGAAGAGAACTAAAACAGATAATTGAGGAAGGCAGGTGGATTTAAAAATGAGAAACTTAAATTTTTAAAACAGTATAATACAGTGGAACAGATTATATAAGGGATCTTATAAAGGGATTCTTCATGGGGAGCACTTACACCTAATAGCTTAAGGGCCTTTGTTTGATTCCTCTGCAACTCTGAAACTTTAAAAGAGCCCTTAGCCTTTGGTTCATAAGAGTAGCAATTTATTAAGTGAGTCCAATAGAATAATAAAATTAGCTACATTGTTACTTTCATATAGGGGGCAAATTGGTTTAAAATTAGTACACTCTAAAACTTGTGTATTAATGGATAAATGTTTAATTTCTGCCAGAACAGTGAGAAAATTTGAGAAAATCTAGTGCTTGCGTTTATGCCTCTGGATATTTTTAGA